ATTTTAAGACATTCTTGAAATAAGAACCGACTATGAATACTGGCCTCTGGCTTAAGTCTCCTTACTCTTACTTCATGGTTTCAACATTGCGGCCATTTTGAAAATATGACTGTTTATTAAGGTGCTTTTTCATGCGCAGCACGCTGCAGCAGCAATTCATTACTATTGGTTAAGAATTTTATGTAAGCTAGATGACGCACTTCCGGCGCAAAATACATTTTGCCGCAGTTCGTTGAAGTTGAACCGAACGAACAGCAAGCAGCAAGCGGCAAAATCGAGGTAATATTATTTATTGCAATAAATATTAGGAAAATTAACGAAGAATGGCTTCGGATAAGGTACGAATGTTTGTAAATTAGATCATTTTATACTTTACACTTTACTTTTTCAAATTTGTGGTAAAGTATAAAATGATCTAATTTACAAACATGTATCCGTACCTTATCCGAAGCCATTTTTCGTTTATTTCTCGATTTTGCCACTTGCTGCTTGCTGTTCGTTCGGTTCAACTTCAACGAACTGCGGCAAAATGTATTTGCGCCGGAAGTACGTCATCTAGCTTACATAAAATTCTTAACCAATAGTAACGAATTGCTGCTGCAGCGTGCTGCGCATGAAAAAGTACCTTAGAAGCATCAGGTTTTCTCGGAAAGCCAACAACATCCTCTGACGAAGGCACAATATAGCGGAAAATTTAAATTGAAATTGTCCGGATTTTGGTGACGCACCCTGTATATAAACTAACGTACATATGTTCTACATTAAATATAATTCACACACACACAGAGAGTAATATTTTTGTACTTGGAAAACTTGAGATTATATATATATATATAGAGAGAGAGAGAGAGAGAGAGAGAGAGGGCGGAGGAGAGGGAGAGAAACATATAATTAATGGAATTATATTTAATATAGAATATATATATGTTAATTTGGGTCAAATTTCAAGTTTTCCAAGTATAAAAAATATTACTTTTAGATTATTTAATATACAATCGACATTAAACACATTTGTTTCACAGTGTTTGCAATTCTACAGTATCTCGTAACATGATAATTGACACGTTCAACAAGTCTCGCAAATTCACTCACAATTAGATTAAAAAATTTTTTTTGTGTAATTTAAAATAGATATTTTATACGTAGCAATATTCTCGTTCCTTGTTATGCATTACTGATCGTTTTCATTCCCAAGTAACACACAGAAAGAATTTGTGCACACATATTTATATATATTATTTTTGACATGTGCGAAAAGTTATTTTTCTCATAAACTTTTCTCTTTCGTTATGTTTGATAAAACTTGCCTAAAAGTTTTCTTTTCCGATATTTTCGTCAAGCTCGCTTATTGTATCCGTTCGATTCTTCTTCTTAAATAACGTTGACTGAATTGTTCCGCTAGCTGAGTAACTCGTCTTGCTCCGGTAGAAATACGTACTTGTAAGAATATTTCTCGCCTTTCACGAAGGAGGTATCGTTTCATCTCCTCCTACTGTGATTCAAAATATATTTTTAGCAAGCCGACGTATTCTGATTGGCTCAAGAGCTCAGTAAACTCCGCCACTTTCGTCGGCTGCGAACCAATGGATTACTATGTTTTTCTTTATATTCTTGTTACAAATAACTCTACAAAAGAAAAATTCTTTAATAGATAGCTTCTTTGACTATAGTTCGCAAACATATTGATATCTTGTAAATAAAATTTAATTCCACAGTGTTGTTTTACTCTTTCATATATTTAAAGAAATACTATGGAGTTTTTTAAGTATTGCTGTATAGAACCAACACTTCGGCCATTTTTCCGTCTTCTCGTATCTATGTATTATAATTATTACTATATTATACAATAGGTCAATGGAATTTAAAATTAGTCAATTTCAATTAACAGCCTATTCATTAATTCAATCCATTTGTTATCGCTTATAGCTGCTTAGAAAAAAAATCTCACTCTTGAATATCTCTTCTAGAAGGGACATCTTTTTAAATTTCTATTGGTATGCGCTTTCTTGTATCATTCTATATCTATATTTTATTCTTATATTTTTTCTGATGCTATCTAATTCTTATTGCTAAATATGATGAATAATTTTTAATTTAACATTTGTTTCATACTTGTGAAGAGAAGAAGAGAGTAACACGATATAAAAATTAAACAGTAGCGTATAGATCGATGCAACATTCTTTTAGAAATAATGTTAAGTATGCAGTATGTTAACCAGGTGGTTATCGAGGAAGAGATCGTGGTGGAAGTCCATGGTGTCACTCATACATTGAGAAAACATACTCGAAACTAATATTAACTGTGTGTTGGCAACATCCGAAAGACTCGTATTAACGAGCTCTTAGAGCAAGATCACAGAAAGAATGCCATATGGTTGCAGCTGCTGGCGTACAACGTTGTTAGTAGAAAGAGAGATTGTCTGTCTTCTATTTTTGCGGTGCATAACACGATCCATGAACACAGCAACGAAAGGAATTGTATTGTTACATACAGAGTGTTCCATTTTAAAGGATTCACTCAAATATCTTAGAAACACTGCGTTAAATCGAAAAATGTTTTAGATAAAAATTTTGTGATTTCGATGGAGACGTAGGATGATACCATTGGTTTGATCTTGAGTGGTATTGTCAAGGTCAGAGCAATATTACTTTATATTTTTTAAATGGGAATCTTATTTTATTAGAATTCTGTATTACGACCGTCAATTATAAATTAACAAGAATAAGGAAACCGTAATAATTTACGATTTACTAAGCACATCTACGGTCAAAGCTAGATTACTATGCTTATTATAATGTTTGACCGTAGATGTGCTTAGTAAATCGTAAATTATTACGGTTTCCTTATTCTTGGGAATCTTATTTTTTATTACATATTCTCGTAGTGTTTTTTTATCTTGAGAGAGAGAGAGAAAGAGGGGGAGGGAGGGAGGGAGGGAGAGAGAGAGAGTTTTAAAATGCTATAATAAAATTTTTTTTTTTAGTACTTTTCAAATTACTAGACTTGGAATTGGAAGATACAGTACCGCCGACATTAGTATTACTCAAAATTATCGACGGCTAAAATTTCTTGAATTAAACGTTCGCATTAACGATGAATCATAACACGTTGATAACCCGCAAACCCTTTAACATCTCTGAAGACAATATCCTTCTTGAATATTGTTTATAAGCGTATCGTAACCTTGATAACATTTGTTGAAGTTAAGGCCATTGGAAGTTGTAATTTTCATTTTTATGTAAAAATGTCGAATAGGGAAATGTTTTACAGAAGTTGGTTATCAATCTGTCTTATGCAAAACCGCGTGATACACTTTAAATAATATGTTAATGCCGCACAGTACTGTACTTTTCAAGCCTAATAACTGTAAAAAGTACTCAATGAAAAAATATTTTATTATAGCGTTTTGAAAAGCTTTCGAGATAAGCTACAAGAATATGCAATGAAAAATGGAGGGGTTCCATTTAAAAATTCAAAATGACTTTGTCCTGACGCCTCTGATCTTATTTTGACCGTGGCAACGCCACCTAAGATCCCGTCTTATGTCTTATGTCTTATCCGCCCTCGAAGTTACAGAACTTTGTCTGAAACATTTTTCGATTTAGGGTCTCTTTCACCAACCTCGGTTAAGTCTAACCGACGGTTAAAGTTCAACCATGATTGGTTCATTCTGGTCAAAGACAAATGCAATTGGATAATTCCATTGGAATTAACTGTCGGTTAGACTTAACCGAGGTTGATGAGAGAGACCCTTAATGCATTCCTGATATATCTGACAAGGAACACTACTCAAGTATGACACGCCGATTTGGCTGCAAGTTGGCACATTTTTAGAACTCGGAAAAATAATCGATAATATGTGCGTGCATATTATTATGCATTTTAGGGGTTTTTGAGCAATACAGGGGGTAGTTTCAACCCTTCTTCTTTGCCGATAAAAAAAAATACGTATCCATTACTTTTCCGAGTTCTAAAAATGTGCCAACTTGCAGCCAAATCGGCGTGTCACACTTGGGTAATATTCCTTGTGAGTGAATTTTTTAAAATAGGACGCCCAGTATGTATACGTATAGTATAAGTATTAACTGAGTATGATTAGTTAATTGTGTTGCCAACTCTGTGCATGCGTATCACACGTGATTGAACATTTTACTAATTTCTTTCATTAAGAAGATATCCATGTTTATGTTTTATTAAAAAGAATTAAATAGTGCTTATACACAAATTAATTTTTTAATTCGAGGTTCGCATTTATAACATGTGTGTTTTGAAAGTTTACATTGTTCTCATTATTTATTTAATTATGTGTATGTAATGTGTAATATTTACTACAAATTGAGTGATAAAAAATCTATGTAATACGTTTTTTTCCACAGGGGATACTTTATTCTCTTAAAATCATGCGATTAGACAAGTTTAAATTTACATATGTCATGCGCGTGCATGCACACACGCACGCACGCACGCATGCGTGTGCGCACACAGTAGACAGTAGGAGGTAAGCATGACACGCACCAAAGAATTCATTCTAATGAGCATGGAACGAAGGAGTGTCGTTTTAGATGCTTTTTCTTTCCTCCTTCCCTCATGGGCAGTTCTATACCTAAAGATGTCATCAAGACAGCAAATATGTTGACAAGTCATTCAACATATTTTTTCATTAGTCGCACAATAAGACTACGAGAAAAATAAAGGATATATTGTGAAACGATAAATTATTTTATGTTTATTCTTTAGTGTTTCTTAAGAAAGAGATACATAAAATAATCGATCGAAGATAGCGTAATTTTTACTTTTAATAGAGAAATTAAGCAAAATTTTTTCATCATTTCAATACATTATATTTCTGACTCTTACTCTGCACGTGTGCGTGTGTTACAATTGACTAGCACATACTATACATATACATATACTGTCGACATAGCAAAATAAAACGTCAATAATATGCAAATGCTAAATTTATCATTTTTGACGCGCGTTGAAAGACGCATGGAAAAGCGAATTTATCATTTGTTTTTATGATATATTTGTAATATATCACATTTCGTAGATTTTAAATTGTAAGGAAGTAAAAAGAGCAACAACGTTATTTAAATATTGAGCGAATTATGTCAAGTAAATTAAGCTGTTGACTCAAATCCCGAACCAAGTGTGTAATACTCATAATGTCGGAATGTACGACCAATCTCACTTGGTATCTTGGAAAGTTTATTATCGGATTTACCGGGATATTATTTGTCTATATCAATTTCTTGAAAGAAAAGTGAGCATCTTCAACGTATAGATCGATCAAATCAAAATGACGAATAGTGATGTCAGAAGTAATCATGTTTTTATCCAACAGTAAGAAATGCTGCGTGTGCAACACTAAAATGAAAAAATTGTTGCAGAAGAAGAAAAGTGAAAAGTGAGTCACGCTTGTCATACATACGCGTTTCCCTAATGCTTTTATTTCATCGTATATAATTTTCTTTCTTTTACACGGAATAAATATGTCATAATATCTAAAAATTAATATTAAATGAGAGAAATATAAGTGCGCTGATAAGTGTGTCTCTCGAGATTGATTAGAATCATGAAAGGATTACGTACACTTTATATGGTCATATTATGATATCACTGGTTAGTGATATCATAATAATGAAATTATTAAAATTGACATAATGCAAATAGTACTAATTTTCAATACATTAGACGGTCAAGTAGATGCAAATACATGATGGGGTAAGGATATAATATCTTAGCTATAGAGACGTTTGTTCAATTCAAAAAAACGTTTCTACACTTGCTATCTACGTGTCCATAATTTAACTAAAAGATAAAACATGGATAATTAGAAGAGTAAAAATCTATTAAATATTATCTCTCTCTCTCTATCTCTCTCTCTCTCTCTCTCTCTCTCTCTCTCTCTTCCTTCCTCCTTCTCTCCCTCTCATTCGAGCAAGTATATTTATTTTAAACACATGCACATATGTCTGCTTTTTTTAAAGGTTCTCTCTTTTCGTTTAATGCAGGATGCAAGATAAACGTTATTTATGTGGATGCAACAAGCCAATGCAGTTGTAAGTTTCCTTTTATTAATTCGCATTTTGATTTGCAGATATTAATGTTTATAATATTTTAAGATAAAATATTTTTAATTTCACGATAAGTTTACGTGCAGTATAACATGTAAAATATTAATTTAAATTAAATTGAACAAATTTTATAATTCTTTAGAATGTGGGACAACGATATGGTATCGATGATTTCAATTAATAATTTTATCAAACATAAAAAATTTTGTCCGAGAAGTCGCTGCTGCACCAGAAGAAATTCTTGTTAAAAAAGAGGAACAATAATGCGACAGCTCTTTACTCAAGATGTTTTATTTTCTAAAGATGAGTCTCTTATTTAGGATGGAGCTTTTTTTTTACTATTGGAATTATTTTCTTACAATTCACTCAATCGACACATCAGTGTAATATAATGTCAAATAATAAGGACAATTCATAATAGAAAAAATCAAAATATGAAAATAAAATATAAAAGTTATTTAAAATTGACAAAGATGCGATTTACACACTTTCTGCAATTGACCAAATTAATTGTATAAGAGGGGAAACGTGTTAATTATATGCAGACTCATTAATATTACGTAAAAGATAATTATATTTTTTTATTGACAATATGAGTTCTGTCTTGCCTGTCGAGTAAAAAATTATAATTGATTAAAGAAATTTTGTATATATTTCAATATTAATAATCTATTAAGTTACATGTGTTGACAATTTGTGGTGTTTAGATTGTCTATAATCTATCAAACTATTATGCTTATTATCATTATATAATTGTGCTATTATGCATACTAGACGGCAACAATACTTCTTATGAGCATCTCTATCTATGTATAATTGGCAACTAGTAAATTAGAGCTACAAGAAATTCTATGAATAAGTTCGACATAATGTAGGAGAGTAACACACCCGGGTCACACGTTCCGAAAATCCGAAACTCGATTAATACGCGTCCCATCTGTAAGTGAAGAGTCTATAAGTAGATCCTACGCGGGCAGAACGTCAGTCATATTCGTATATTATTTATACTGATCTCGTAGACATGAGACACCTCGTTGCTAACGAGATGGCTGCATAATCATGTGGTGTGGATGTATGCGCGCGTAATCACATTTAATATATTTTCAACCACACAAATTAGGATGTTTGTTAATATCGTCAAACGATGATATAAAAAATTATTTTCCTTCCTTTCTCTCCTCTTTTTTCCTTTCTTTATTATATTATTTAATCGGTTTTTTATATTTATACTTACGATGAGTTTTAAAAATTATTTTTTATTCAGAAATTATTGATTATTCTTAGAATACAAATCAGTAAGTTGAAAACAATAAAGCGGTTGAAAATTACATGAAATATCAGTGATCGAAATCTTTTTAGAACTTCGACATATGTACCTCGAGTTTTTCCGCGATCTTTCAATGTAATATATATGTGAGATCTTTCTGAATGGTAGACTTTGTCGACGCAGCTGCGTCTCTTTCGTATTTTGCATGCATTCTAATGAAATAAAACGAGATAGGTAAGGGTAGCGGCCTGAGAGTCGAGAAGAAATATTTCGAAATAAGAAGATGTTAAATGAGCGAACTGTCCGACTGTCACTCCGCTTAATACCTAGTTTCTCAGTAAAGCTTCACGAAAGTGAGTTAAAATGATCTTGTGAATATATCGCAAGTTTGTCCGTCAAAAATACACATGTAACATTTCTCATGTTATGAAACTTTGAGTATATATATTTATTTTTATGTTTTAGCAATATATGTATATTTTCAATAGTTGATTAGGTAATCTGTTATATCATATATTCGGTCATTTTGGAAACATTCCTCAATCCATTTGCATTTAACAATCTTTATAGATGTTTGCTCACATGCTTTCATATTTTTCACAATAGAACTCGTAGCGTTATCTTCTACAAAAACATGCGTAACAGAATTATTAATGTTGTTTTCAATTTTACCTGACATAAAACGGAATTTAAATTTAGCGCTACACGATTCATTCTCAAAAAATCCAACTGTATCTCTAAACAATGAATAAGGCGATGTGCCCCCGAACAAATTCTTGTCCATTTCTTTTTCTTGCTCAATAATCAACTTACTCTCTGTAAACTTTATAATTGGTAAAATTAGATTATTGCGATAATGCACGTACACACGTATTTACTAATAATAAATTTTAATTCAATAAGTAGGTACCTCAATCGATTTCTCAATCTTGTTGAATGAACGCTTCAAACTTTCCTCATTTGCATCAACGACAAAACTATCATAATATCCATCATAGTTTTCTGTAACTTGGTTTCTAGTAATGTTTCGACTGCGTAATAATTCCCATGGTAAAAAATCAATCGATAAGATCCACTCGGATCGATTGAAAACACGTTTGACCCAATCGAGAGTTACAACATCATATTTTCCACTGTTTATTACTTCTTTCCCTCGTATCTAAAAAAGTTTGCACGTAATTGAGGAGTTGGGCGGAATAAAGGCATAATTCTACTTAGGCCCTTTTTTCGGAGATTGGTGCAAATAAACAAAGAATAGATCGATGTTGTTTACATTAGTAAAATATGAACTCATTTCGATTGTTCTATGGTAGTGAAAATGATATAATCTATGGAAAAAGAGCCTTAATCGACGTGGGCTATTGTTCCGTAGATCTATATATTAAGGTACAATAGAGGTTGCGTGGGAATGTGTCATTTAAAAATGGCAAATGTGTGTTCTGTGTTCGCGCCAAAAAATAAATACCGGAAAAACTTTCATAAGGCCATCCCCTCCAAATTTTCACCACTCGTAAAATATGCTTTACAAAACTCTAATGATATTGCGTTCGGTCATTTATATTGTATAGTATGCTACGTCGTACACATCTATTTCTACATTATCAGTGTAATTACATTAACAAAAATGGAGTATTCTGACAATTTTTTTTAACAACTCGATACCGATTTATAGATTTTATGAAAAAAGGCAAAAATTTCATGTAACATAGCGTTTAATAAATTGTCGAATTGTTAAAAATTGTCGTAGAATAACAAAACCAATTCCATTAAAAAGCTGAAGATTTCAGCTTTTTAACCCAATTTGATCGATTTCTGTACGATAATTCGTCCAAAAGTTATGATGTTTTGTGTGCACATGCGATGCTCCATTTTGCTTGACGTTTTGTCGGCGCACTCTGCAACTTCACTACGCAAAGCACATCTTGCATAATTTCTTACGTGAAAATATTGCTCGTACGACAAAAATCCACACAACCTTTTCTGTGTAAAATTTTCCGCTATTTAATTTTCCTCTCTTATGTTTTCTTAGTAAAATTGTTACTTATTGAAATATTTGCAAAAAACCGAAATTTGAGACCTATTTGTTTAATTATGTTTCTTAGCGTCTACTGTACAGTAGTAAACTTTTTTTTCCTTCATCTTATGCAAAAAAGGTCTGTGCAAAAATTCACTCTGATGGTATTTTTTCCGAGATCTTGTCCAATTTTCATCTAAATTGATTGTACTATTTGTACAAGTGTAAAAATAAAGTATTTTTTATATTCATTTTGTATTTCTTCTACAAGAGTGTGAAGATAAAAAACATTTTTATAGTCTTTTCTTTCTATCGATTCCTACAATACTATGATCAATATTCGGAAAAAGGGACTAAATGCATTTTTTAAATTGTACACAAATAATTTTTTAAATATTGATCATAATAGAGAAATATTATACATGTAACTTCTTAAAGGCATTATATAAATATACAATTAATACATACTATTCCCATTTGTTGTATAATAAAAAAGTAGCAAGTTATTTTAATTTTTATCAAAATCAAGATTTTGTAATTAGGCCTTTATTTCCATCTCCTCAATTAGTCCTTTAGTTCGATGATTATCATATTTAAGCTTGAGTTGTGCATAAGCGATAGCGCGCAGTGCAGAAAAAAATATTTCTTACCGTTTTATTATTGCCTACTATCACACAGAAAATCGTATTAACTGGATTTTGAACAACTTTTGCACTGTGTTGCTGCAATATTTCTTCAATTTCCTCTTTCGATAATTCATCGTCACCATTGATCACACAAATTTCTCTTCCATCTAATAGTCGCGTAAGTGGTACTACGCGCTTATTACACGTGTTATATTCAATCGATTTACTTCGATTCATTGTCTTTTGTAATTTAGAGACTGATACTTGGTCGCAATCATGTAGAGTAGCTTCCCGCTTGGTTAATTTTTGAATCATTCCTCCATTCTATGAAAATTGGATTATTGTAAATTATAAGTGAGTAATCGCGCAAGGATAACTTTATACTCGTAATTTCGTAATGTAATAAATATTTATATCGTTCGTTAGTGGCATTCACATACTTTGGCCAACGATAGTAATTCGAGAGTAGTACATGAATTGTACCAGGGCTTATCCATCCTTACATTCATAACTCTAGGAAATCGTAAACTGTATCCAATTGGATATTCATTACTACGTATCATCTCAGACGCCCGTATCGTTAAAATTATAGAATGTTCTGGATGAATCCACATATCTGGTTGATTTCCCTACAAAGAATATAATCTACAGATATGTATAAAATTCGTATAAAACATTATTATAGAGCGTAAAAAGCATTATTGTATCAATAAAATGATGAGAAATCGAGAAATTTAAATCGAGATCTGCATATTAAGTGTATCTAATGTAATATGTAGATATAAATAACACTGTTCAACAAAAAAAAAATAACAATGAGTCTAGTCATGTTCTGTAGTTTTTAAACACTGAATTTAAACACGAATATGCGTTTTCCAAATTGTTCCATCATATCACAATTTGGGAACATCTTCAATTTCATGGCGTTCCAAAGAGAGATTATAAAAAATAAGTAATAATTATATTCTCTTGTTACGGAATTAAAAACAAAAATTATTCTCTTATCGAATAATGTATATAATAGATACGTAAATAAATAAATCAATCGAGAAAAAGATAAATATGTTAAATTAGGCCTGTCAGCTAGTGGTTCGCGAGCCAGCCGCCCCATCGAGCGCCACCCCTTTCAACTCAACTCGCTACGGCGCGCCGATAGATTTTAGATTTTAGGAACGGTTATTAGCCGTTGCGATGTAAACCCTACTTCCTATAATCTATAGAAAAATTCTATGTTTTCTTTTTTACTATCTTATTCTTTTTACACATCATACTGTAACCAGGGATTTGTATTGAAAATAAAAACGATTTAAAATATTTACTAAAAGAAGAGCTATTTAGTTACTAAATTTACTTAAATAAGTATTTAGTTACTATTATAAATTTATTAAATAAGTAAATTTATTAACTAAATAGCTCTATTCTTTTGGTAAATTTTAAATCTTTTTTATTTTCCATACAGGTCCCTGGCTACATTACGTCGTATAGTAAAGAAAACTCGAATTTTTCTTTAGATTATTATGGAGAGTAGGGTTTACACCGCAACGGCTGACAGCTGTCTTTAAAATCTGTCGGTGCGCCGCGCCGCAGCAAGTCGAGTTGAAGGGGGAAGAGCTCGGCGGAGCGGCTGGCTCGCAAGCCACTGAAACTGTCAGCCTGATAGGAATGAAGAGTACATTCCAAAACGTTCTCTCCGAGGAAAATTTTACTCGAAATATATAGTACACGTAACTTATACTATAGTATATAGAGTAAAATCTTCCTGTCCGGACAGGACATTTTGGAATGTAGTCTAAATGCATTAATATGCATTTAAAATAATACATAATAATTAATGTTTACCTTGGGACTTATAATATTTTTAGGATGATCCTTGATCCAATATGGCGCAAGTTTTGTTTGAAGATGACGTAACATTTCATCTCCTATTCCAGTGCTTACAGATACGACGGAGAAAAATTGGGATGGATTTTCTCCTTCTTTGTTCGTTGGTGCAGCAACACCCATCATAAAGCTTTTAATTTTTCCTATATACCTGCCATTTCCGTAATAACCGCCAAGTATGATAAGATCTATATCTTGTATTAAATTGTCAGTATACTATAAAAAATATGTATATACTGATTTGGTTGCTGTTGGATTTTGTGCACATTATTATCACGACATATATCTAGGTATTGATTAAAACTAAAAACTGTTTAGTGTATATTTTTTTGTTGAAAATCAAACAAAAGTGTGTGTGTGTGTGTGTGTTTGCGCGCGTGCGTGCGTGTGTGTGGGTGCGTGCGTGTGTTATTCATAGTCCATTCTAATTTTAAGACCATCCTAAGAAATATCTTAAAATGCTAATACGTTTCTGTGGCAGTATATTTACAGTCGAATCCTTATATAAATTACATACAGTTTAAAGCAAGGTTGGTTAAGTTAATATTTTTTTTCCAACTAAATTAAGTTAAAGTTAATGACTGATAAAATTAACAAAATTAAGTTAAAAGTTAAAGAAACAAAAAATTAACTTAATAAAACTTACGATTAAATTAAGTTAAATTTAAAAGAAAAGTCAATTTTGATAAAAATGATTTTTAAGATCAGAATGTGTGTTCTAATTTAAAAAAAATGAGATTACTTTAAATAACAATTACAATATAGATAATTATTATAGGTAAATTTAATTTTCTTATTCATATATAAGTTATATAAAAAACAGGGATGGGAAAGTTACTTTGTAAAAGTAATTAATTACAGTTACAATTTTTCTCTTTCAAAAAGTAATTATAATAATTAATACTAAAAAGCATAAAAAGCCAACGCTGGATGTTTTTGCGAAATTATATTAGGTGTTTAGGGCATAGCAGAATAAGTATGCATGAACTGCCCCTTGCCGGATCCGGTCGTTCTTTTTACCGTAGATTGGTATTAACCTAAGATTAGCTTTCCCAAAAGATTGTTTTCTAAAATTAATTTTTATGGGAGTTATGGGGGTTTTAAGAAAAATCAAAAAATCCATTTTTCTCAAAAACGGCTTAACCGATTTTAATGAATAAAATATATGTTATGGTATTCGACGAAACAAATATAGAAAAAAAATATCAAGTGTATTTACCAAAAAAATAGTTTAAAAAAAAATTTTCAAAAAATTAAAAAATTTTTTTTTTAGGTTATGTTTAAGTCTCAATCACAGTTTTTAGTCTTGAAGTACCTTTGGTATCCCTCTAAATTATTCCCAAAGGCCAAAGCAATTGAAGGGGTAGCACGTACTTTTAAAAAATAAAGCTGCAGAAAAAAAATTTTGAGATTTTGATATCAATCGATAGATTTTAATTTGCTCTTTTACATACAAAAATAAAAAACTGTTTATATCTGTCAGTTTTTGTGTTATTAACGACCAAGCATGACTCTACCATTCAAATACCTACTTGTGGGTTCAACTTTAAACGTCCAGCCTGTAAAATTATATTTTGTAAATTTTAATTGTTTTATAGAATTGATAGTTTTTGAGTTGCTTTTTTATATTCAAAAAACAAAAATCGATTTCTTCAATTACTTTCTGTGTTATGGAGCTTCAAACATAGGGATGTTAAACCGATCGCTTCGACCATTCTCTTTGAACGCCCGTCCTGTTGCAGCTAAGGTCTCTTTCACCGTGGAGCGTCACATATATTAGTGCATAGCGACACAAAAACAAAAAATTACACTAAGAACAATAAAAGGAGCGACTCTATAGACAAAAGTCGTATTGGTCGTTAAACCGTCGTGGAGAGTCTTTGGGATTTCTGCATCTATACTTTTGTTGATGCTCTAAACTTTTATACATTTTGAGTTTTACCCAAATTAGTCGTGGTGCAGACATCCGAATAAAGTTTCTTAAACTTATAATTTTCTATCGTCGAATTGAATGTTTCCTAAAGTTTTACTCTTTTGACTGATCGTTCCGTGATCTTCTAAAGGCCGTCTAATACAAATTGAATTTGTATTTATTTAAGATCGTTGTATATATTTTTTAAACTGCTTTTGATTTCTGTTTTCGTGATTGTTATTTAAATACTTTTACCTCTTTCAATTATTGTAAGTACATTCTCCAACCGTCTTAAACGTTGATTCTTTACTGTATTTCATTCTTAATTTAAAGAACCCTTAAATTAAATGTTAAGAAATTATCCTAGATGTGCTGCTTGTAGCAAGTATTTGCACAAAACATCAGGCACGAAAAAAGTGATTATTAATGAGGAGGAAGCTTCTATATTTTCTAATAATCTGCAAAAAACGATTGTAGTTCAAGATATTTTGTGTTCTAAATGCTGATTATTTAAAATAAGAAGAAAAAACTTGATGAAGATGTAGACAGCACATTTTCTGTAGAATATGGTGATCATTCAGAATCCAGTTCTAATGACCCTACATTTAGTATGAATCTGAAAACCGTAGAAAACAAAGCGAATTATGAAAAAATTGAAGTTCAACTACCTAGGACAGTTTCAACTCACAAGTACTGCTGTCTTTGTAATTCCCAAACAAATCTAACAGTAGTCCCTAAGGAAGCTCGCTTACAAGCTTTCATAAAAAAACAGATCCATATACCAGAAGGAAATAAATGTTGCCGAAAGCATCTAATAAAAAATCGATTTTATGAGGATGATGTTAATCTTTTAAAGAAGTACTCTAACACATCTTATTTAAGCTCTTCTGAATGGGTTGAAATGATGGTTGAAAAAATAACAAAAAAAAAACAAGGTGTCCAAAACCGTACTGTAACCTCCACGTGGTGGACACTGGAAACTGCATTTTTTGTAGGCTAAATACAGACGACTTCTTTAAAACGTATGTTCAATCAATAGAGTTGGTTCACGCAGAAAAATGGTTCCGCTTAAAACAAATGCCTTTCCTCTCATAAGCGTTCTATTGAGCTATGCATACATGTTCAAAGCTTTTATTTTTTAAAAGTACGTGCTACCCCTTCAATTGCTTTGGCCTTTGAGGATAATTTAGAGGGATACCAAAGGTACTTCAAGACAAAAAACTGTGATTGAGACTTAAACATAACCTAAAAAAAAAATTTTTTAATTCTTTGAAAATTTTTTAAAAACTATTTTTTGGTAAATACACTTGATATTTTTTTTCTATATTTGTTTCGTCGAATACCATAACATATATTTTATTCATTAAAATCGGTTAAGCCGTTTTTGAGAAAAATGGATTTTTTGATTTTTCTTAAAACCCCCATAACTCCCATAAAAATTAATTTTAGAAAATAATCTTTTGGGAAAGCTAATCTTAGGTTAATACCAATCTACGGTAAAAAGAACGACCGGATCCGGCAAGGGGCAGTTCATGCATGCTTATCCTGCGTTCGGTCCGTTTTTTGTGTTCAAAAATGCATTTATTTCAAACAAAATGAATGAACAGATTAATTAAAGTATTGTCCATCGCTGGCTACTACTTTTTCCTAATTGCTCTCCAGCAATTTTCGAATTCCATCTCGAAAAACTCGTTTTTGGAGGTGATCTTTTGGAAAACGGACCGAACTAATTTGTAATCCAATATAATCTTTCTGAATTAGACAAAAATAATTACAAATTTCCTTATTTACGACACCTTTCTCGTGTCATCTTCCGTGTGACATTTAAAGGATACAAGTAAACAATTGACGATAATATATTATAAAATATCAGGAGACGCGGAAGCGTCTCCGGCCATGTTCAAAAACTGAGAGACGCTATAAGTCTCTTATCCCGAGCCACCAAAGTCCATTATTGGGAGGTGCATAACTACTAAAATATAAAAAATTTTGAATCGAACGTCATATGTCCTGAAAGGCGGCATCGCCACGAGTAATTCGAGACAAAAAAATTTTAAATCGGTCAAGCCGTTCTGGAGATACAAGCGGTCGAAAAGTGATGATTTTAATAAAAAATTAAGAAACGTCTCCTTCTCTGTCCGTCTGTCCGTCCGAATTTAAATATATCGTTATTTGACGGATAGTGAAATGTTACCTTTTACCATTCTCTTTTACCTTTCACTCGCACCTCCACCATCTTTGGCCCACCGGACCTCCTCCACTCGCCTCACCCCCTTCCCCACCACCAACCCCCACCTCCCCTCTCTTCCGCTGTAATTCACTCTCTTTCGTTATTACAACTTTTTGACATCCTCTCTCACCTTTCACTCGCACCTTCACCATCATCGGCCCACCGGACCTCCTCCACTCGCCTCCCCCCCTCCAAACACCATCCACCTCCACCACCCCTCTCTTACGCTATAATTTACTCTTTTTCGTTATTACAACTTTTCGACATCCTCTCTCACCTTTCACTCGCACCTCCACCATCTTCGGCGCACCGGACCTCCTCCCTCCGTCCCTTCCCCT